AGTGTCCCCCTATTAAAGGGGTTTGCAAAACAGACAAAGTGATCTTTTCACTAATGCATTTTTGTTTTTCAAAATATAACTATTTTTCATAAAATATATTATACATTATGTCAAATAAAAAAAAATAAAAGAATAAAAAAAATTTTAAAAAAATTTTAAAAAAATCTTATCTGTCACAGTCTAGTTATACTGACTCTCAGTAAGTGTTCAATAAAATTCTTATGCATCAATGAGGAATAAATGTGACTTCATGTATCCAAGAGAAGGAAGAAAGTAAAGTGAAAAATAGGTATTTTTGAGCAGTTCTCATTAAATGAAAAAAGTGCAACAACTGCAATCTGTCAAAAAGGATATTGTTTATCCTGTAATATTTTTTCTATTTTCTCCATTCTTACAAATCAATACAAGAACCATTTCTTCTACAAAGCACCTTAAAATCCTCTATCACATCAAATTTATTTTTTGTTTGTTTTGTTTTTCAAACTGAGGAATGATCACAGGGGTGATTTACACTGAGCTACATCCCCAGTTCTTTCATAATTTTTAAATTTGAGACAGGCTCTTGCCAGGTTGCTTAGGGCCTCACTAACTTGATTTTCCTAGCTTCAAATTTGTGATGCTCCAGCCTCTGCCTATTGAATCTTAGGGATTATAAGCATGGGCCACCATGCTTGGCATATAAAACTTTTTTATAATTCTATTTAGTATGCTTTATACTTCTCTTTTTCACATTGTGAATGGTTTCTTATATAATAGTTTTTTACTGTTTATCATTTCACTAACTTGTAAGCAGCCAAAATTCTTACTCTTCATTTTACTGTTCTCTGATAATCTTTTGTTAAATATTTTTTTTAGTTTTCAATGGACCTCTATTTTTACAAATTGCGTTTATTTATATGCTGTGCTGAGAATGGAACCCCATGCCTCACACATGCTAGACAAAGGTTATGCCACTGAGCCACCACCCCAGCCCCCCTTTTTAAAAAATATTTTTAGTTTTCAATGGACCTCTATTTTATTTATACTCAGATAAACTTTGACAGATATCTTTGCTCTCCTGTTGTTCCTTGAAGTTCAGAGAATAATTTCTTTAAAATATGACAATCTAAAGTATATTCATAAATCATTTAAACACATTAGTCTCATTACTCTATAGACTTAAATAATTTAAAGCAAGTCATTTTTTTCCTACTTAATAAAGTAAATGCTTTCTGGAAATTTTCAAAGCTGTGAACTTGGCAATTATATACTTCTTTAACAAAACTTAAAAGATTTTTTTTTAAATCAACTTTAATATGTTACCTCATTTAGTTATAATACCAAGTACATGATGCACATGGGTGTGCTTTGTGTAAACAATATTTAAAATTATCTTCCATTCTAAGAGTTTTATTATTTCTCTGAGTTTCATCATCCCTTTAAAACATCATATTCTATATGTCTTTATTTTCTTTAGGAACTGAATAATGATATGAATGAGACAAAGAAGCTTTAAAATGACACTTTTAAAGACTCCATGGTAGTGACTGTGGTTGAGAGCAACACCTGCAATCACAATGTGGCCTATTCCAAAAAGATTAAGCCCTTTCCTTAAAGCTTTCTATAAAAAACATTTTATTATCTTTTGTGTGATTCCTCTTATCTTTTTCTCCCATAACATTTCTAGAAGGTTAATTTCAATCTTTGAAGACATGTTACATATTACTTCCTGAACCTCCCACACAGGTTAGATTATAATTGAGTTCTGAAAATAAAATGATCTCCACACTAGAACTATACACACAGCACTGACCATCACATGTATTCCCCAGGGCATGTTGCTGTGTCCCTCAATGCATGAAGGAAAGTTCTGGAACCGGAGCTGTTGGCATGTCAGACAAGCAAGTGATATGGGAGATTAACGTGTGTATGGGACTCTGGCAGCACAGGTTGGGGATGACAGGCAAAATGTTAAGGGAGAATCAGTGACATCCAAATTAAGCCCCTCTGCCAAATTTTATCAATGTGAGTCCCTTGAAAAGATTCTTTCTGGCAATGAAGTAGAACATCGAATAATTCCACTGACAACAGGATGTAAAGCCCTTGGATGAGGAAAAAATTAGTGAAAATTTAAGGTTTAGGGCCCCAGATATGGCCATGTCATAGGACCCAGGGGAAGCAAACACCAACAAATATGGTAGCCTGCTGCCTAAGCAATGGCTTTGGAAACAGAAGACATTCAAAGATCAGCTCTGCCACTCATCAGCTCTGAGACCTTATCCAAGTCACTTGTGCCCCCTGAGCCTTGGTTTCTTCAATAAGCAGTGCTGTAAGGATTAAATCAGATACGCATGGGAGATTTCCTAGTAGATTTGGAACGTAGTGGCCAAAGTGTCAAGTTTAATTTGAGTGACAGAAAATATATATATATACACACAAAGGATTTTGCTACCTATTTGTTCTGCCCCCTCCCATACCTCAAGACACTGTTCATGCTCAGTGTAGATATACATTTTTATTATCTCAAAATTCTTTGTTAGTTAATGGTCTCCAACACTGTCCCTTAAATTTTCCTTAAAAGTGGAATGCCCATAACCTACATGAAGCTTCCCCAATTGGACAGTGGCTTAAGTCATCTTAATCAGGGTCCAAATCAGCAAAATAGGCCCAATCTGCACTGTATATACATCTCATTGACTTCAAAGCTCATTGATGCTAAGGATCACACTGCATTGCCCAACATAGCATTGCCACTATACTGAAATGACCACATTTCTATTAACTCCTCTCCTCCCTGAAATTCACTCCTTGTTAGTGTTCGCTCACTGTGTCTGCCACCACCATTTACTAGTGACCCAAACCAGAAGTCATAGAGTCATTCTTGACGTGTTCTCATGCTCTCCATCTGCTCAGCCACTAAGACCTAACTATTTTACTGCCTCATCAATTTTAGAATCCTCCCTCCTTCTAACTGCTTTAACCCCAGTTCCAATGCTCATTATCTCCTGATAGAGCATAGAAAAAGCCTGATAGCTGCTCACTGGTCCTTTCCACTATTAGATCCCAGCTTCACACCATAACCAGTATCCTCTATGTACATGGATGACTCAATCTCATCACTCTTGTACTTGAAAAGCTCTACTAATTTCCACATTTATTAGTAGAAACATAATTGAAACCCAAGATCATTGTGGGAGGTCCCTGTTTTCTAGTTCTTACTGTCTTCCTCTGTCCCAAATTTTATACCTTGATAATAGAATGTAGATTTGGTTCCCTAGCACACATGGTGTTGTTTGACCCTTCTGTGTTTTTGCAAGCTATTACCTCTGCATGGATTTTCCTTCCTAATATCTTCTTCTCATATGTAATTCTTCTTAATTTTTTAGGCTGAGAAATGAAATGAAAATATTTGAAAATCCCTGAGATTTCAATGGCTCAAGTCATTGACCATAAGTCAAGCACTCACCATATTGAATTCATCCATTTTTTTTCACTTTTTGGTCTCTCACACAGTATCAATGACATAAAGTTGAAAGTCTTATCTTAGCCTCTGTGCTCCTTTAGGTAAGGGCATCTTGTAGCTCCAGCTAGTCAAATCCCCAAACCTACCCAAGCATGTTCTCCACCTATTTTTTGTTGTTGTTTTTCCAATTTAGTGGACCATTCCAGGCCTCTCTAAAACTTATCTTTTTGAAATTGGAAATTTAGAGTCAGCTTCTGAAACTCTCAACCAAAGAACCCTTCTCATCTATTTGTGTATTCCTTTGTTGCTACTGTTGTTTTGCTCCTTCATGGCATAATAATTGCTGATATTAAGTGTAGCTCTCACTACTCCTCAAAATAAAGCATGGCCTCTAAAAATCTTTCATTATTTGATGCTGGCATGTATACAGAAATCTATTATAGATATAAATAGACTTGTACACATACACACATATATATAAATCTGGACTACAACTTGTAAATTTCAAGGATACAACACTTTTATATATATATATATATATATATATATATATATATAAAATATATATACATATTAACTTCCTGTGCTATCTTAATACCAAGACTAGTATATGGAAGACAGTTGATAATACCCACTGAGTGAGAGACTGAAAAAAATGAATGAGCACTCTGAATGACTCACTTTTATTACAGAATTTAAATTATTGAATTTGAGGCAGAGAAATTGCATTTGCAAATATCGTTCAAGAAATAAAATCACTTTTCTGTAGGATTCCTGGTTTTATCATTTCATAAAAATAAATAAACAAAATAAAGGTATTGCGTCCAGCTACTTCTAAAAACTAAACATTAAAAAAAATAGAGGAAGGTTTTCAGCATCTCACTAATTTTTATACTATTATTATTATTTTATTTTTTTTCCATGGTAGGATTGAACTTGGGACCACATGCATACTAGGCTAGCTGTCTGCCTGCCAGTGAACTACATCCTCAGCCTTTATTTTTAGCTATTACCAAAACTTGATTCAACAGTTATTGAAAAATAACTCTTCACGTAGGCTTTATTTTTCTCCCTATGCAACGGCTTTTAAAATATGACAGAATGTCCCTCATGGGAATGACTAAAATCGAGTGGCTTTTATGCACTGTTTTTTTTTTTTTTTTTTTTTGGACAGGTAAAGGCTTTTGTTTCTCCTTTTCCAGAGAATCTGAAAAATTAAGCATCTAATTCCAGAATGCTGTGAGGTATCCATCCATTCTCATTGGTTAAGTATCATCAACAACAAAATTTGTGTAGCCGAGACCAAGTGTGTCTGTATGTGCATTTTATATATACACTTTCAAACATATAACCAAAGTGGACTCATATAAGTAGATTTAAATTACAACCAGGTAAAATGTAAACATGAAAAGATGAAAGCATGGAGGCAATTTTGAGAGGAAATGAGAAGATATAGTGCTAAATGTATTGTTCTGGTATGAATAGATTTTTTTTCTTTTAGATTTTCTATCAACATATGTCGTTTGTATTCTTTCGAAACCAAATCTGTTCAACTCACCTTCATATAACCAGTCAGCAATCCCATTAAAAATAATTCCTTCTTTTCCAGAGGATGTAAGTCGCAATGAACTGCTCTTTATATCAGGTTGGTAGTAGATATTATTTTCAAAAATATAAATCTGGATCAGAAAACATATGAACAAACAAAAAACCCCAACATGTTAGGATGTCTTTATTAAACTTTCATATCATATAATGATCACTAAATTAATGTTTTGTCATTTGCCTACTTATAATCTTTTTTAAAAAATTTAATACATATATTTGTAATCAATTGTTAATGGCTACTTCTTTTCCTATCATATCAATATCAAGTTGTCATTTTGAAATCACATGGAAGTTGATATTGATGTTTTTAAATCCTTATTTTCAGCAACAATATTTCATCTACTTAATGATGTTTCTCCCATACCACAAAATTGGTTTGGCTGTGAGGTAACATTTTGCATACTCAAGAGAATAATAACCGAAATAGATGCCATTTTAGTAACAGTCAATTGTCTGTTGGAAAAGCTTCAATTTTGAGTATTTACTGTTAGAAAAATGCATTTGGGGGGTCAATAAAAATATCTTTAGAAAATCTTTTAGAAGCTATCCAGCTGGACTTGCAGATTCACTGATAATAAGAAATAATAAAAGTCCTTTTAACTTACACATGAAATGCACTTACCCGTGTACCAATATTCTTTGCCAACATTTTTTTAAATAGCATATCAATGATAAGGAACTTGTGCCTGAGAGTGGTAGAGTTTTAATTTGAACACAGTATAGAGTCTCCTTCAGTAATATCAATACAACAGCCCCCAAACAGGAATGATGGTGTTCACCCAAAGTGACCTAACTTTGCTATTGATAATTCAGGATAAAATTATGTGTAATTCACTTTATATTGTATTTAATAATAAATGAGCTGATCCATGTTGTGTTATGAGCTTCCATAGAACCAAGTTTCTTTCGTATATTAGGGGAGTCAAAAATTGTCCAGGGCAAGCCATACTTCTTTTAGCATCAAATGTTCCACCAATAAGGAAAAGGACGTAACTAGCATGGTAGAGAATCATACACAAAATGGCAATTAGAGAAAATACAAGCACTTCTAAAACAACTGTCTAAATAATTATTAGATCCTAGATTTCAAATCTGGTTGCGAATAGTAACAGAGCAAATTGGCATTTACAGAAAATCTCATTGATATTCTATTTTGATATTGGGTATGTGGCAAGCATTTAATATTGGGTATATTTAGTTAATAATTATTATTATAAGTAAGAATATCAGTCTACGGATAAAATATCTCAAAAACAGAAGGGTACAGCATGGTGCATAAAAGCATGGACTTTACCCTCAGCTAGTCTACATTTAAAATCTAGTGACCTTGATAATTTTCTTGACCTTGGTAAACTGCAGTCCCCTCATTTGTAAAATGTGGTTAAGTCTCACACATACCGTCTGTTATGAAGTGTAAATGAGATAGTGAATATAAAATATAAAACACATGTGGCTATTCCTAAAATCAAGGCTGGTCTCATACATTAACATGGTTCAAAATCCTGAGCTTTTGGTAAGCTCTACATTCTGAATCAAAATAAAATACTCCATGGCTTCAGCCCATCTGTAAATGATCCCCAACAACTGGCCAGTAGTCCACATTTTGCCAGTTAAATACACATTAGTGTTAGGAGTCGAACAGCCACAGTGGAAGGGCGAGGAGGATTAAATCAATTATATTTATTGTTTTCATTTCAGTTAGAAAGTTTTCAGGTAACAATACAAAACAGGAAATAAGCTTCTTATTAAAGAATAGAGATCCCACGTAGGCAAAAGTTTGAGAATAATATGAGGTATCATAATACTGGATGAAAGTTTGAATTAATGACTTTAAGGACTTTAATAAATTTAATTAATTAAACCCTGATAGCTGGAAAAATACATTAATTTTATTCTAGCTGATTATAGCTTAAACTATATGTATTTTGCATACTAACTTCTTCAGTCCTTAAAAAAAAAAAAGTGTAAACTCTTTCTTTGGGATAACCACCTCTTTTTTTCCCCCTAAATGAGAACCCTCTAATAGCACTTGTGAGTAACGACTGCACATAACCCCCAACTATTCAACCCAAGACTTCATTAGGAAAAAGGTGACTTCACCCAAAGCAACATGATTCAAAATCCTCAGTTTTTCAGAGGGAAAGAACTCTAAGTCAAAAATAATTAATAAAACCTCCACGACTTCAGCAGATGTATAAATTATCCCCAACTATTGACCAGTAATTACATTTATATTTGAAGAACAGATTGGATTACATCCAGAATCCATATGAAACTGACATCTGCTCCAATGTAAAAGAACAAGCAATATGGAATCAGAATTTTAATGCCATCCCACTAAAAGCTATACTACTAGAGACCGTCCACAAAATCTTTTTTTCCCCAATAGACAAAAACAGCAACAAAAAATAGTAGCTGTTTTCATAAAAAATCTACCTTTATAATTTTTAACCGCATTTCAATTACAAGATTTTTCACTGAATTGCATTATTTCACCTAATGAAAAACTCTAACCACTACCTTGACAATTTGAGAACTCCACATATTCCCAGATACTTTTCTCAGGCATTCTGATGAAATGAAACTGGATCCTATCTTCCTTCCATTCTGATGAAATTAAATGGGGCTTCAACTAGACTTAAATCACCCTGGAAACATGACAAACAGTAATGCCATGCATCCCAATGGTACTGATTAAACTGTCAAAATATTTTGATATCATTAATTCATTCCTTCAATGAGCCACCTAAAAAGCATAACAGATAGAAAGATAGGTATTTGATCAATTAAGCCTCAAATTTATAAAGCATGCCAACTATCCAGTTTCTCAAAATCAATATTCTTAATCTACCCACAAAAATAACTGAAAATTGTAAAGTCACCAAAGGAAACAGGAAGATAATTGAAATACGATGTGCTGAATTATTCTGTCAGAAAATATGTAATACATGTTCCAAGAAATTATTCTAATCAATATGCTAGTCGATATTGCTCATCATCAAGAGATCAGACACAATGTGTGTCACTGATGGAAAGGAGGCTTTAAGAGCCAATTTTCAATTTACCACCTTGTCTTCCTCCTCCTGCAACACCAGCAGCTGCTCCACATGCTGAGAACACCAGCAGCCTGGGTTACTGCGTGAGGAAGCTGTTCTAGTCAGCTTTTTCACTGCTGTGACTAAAAGACCCAACCAGAACAATTGTAAAAATGGAAAAGTTTATTTGGCTTAAGGTAAGGCAGGACATCATGGCAGAAGAATGTGGCAGAGGGAAGCAGCTCACATGATGATCAGGAAGCAGAGAGAGAAAGAGAGAGAGAGAGAGATTACACTCTCCAGCTACAAAATTATATAACTCAAAGCCAAGCCCCCAGGATCCCACTTCCTTCATCCATACTCTACCCATCTTTTGTTTCCACTCAATTAATACCATCAAGGAATTAATTCACTGATTGGGTTCAGACTCTCACAACCCAATCATTTTTCCTGTAAACCTTCTTGCATAATCTTATACATGAGCTTTGGGGGACTCTTCAACTCCAAACAAAAGCAGAGACACAGGGCATATCCCATTCCATACACAAGTGACATGTGGTGGACAAACAAGAAATGATCAATTGATATTAAAGTCATGAAAATGTAAAGACCTTGAGTAAGCACAGTGTTAATGAGTCCTCTGTGACTAATGCAACCAGAGGAAATGGATGGTCACAGCCACACTCTCACAAAATTTTTTCAGCCAGCTTAAAAGAGCAACAACAACAACAACAACAACAACAAACAGCATTGGCTATTCAATCTATTTTATCAGAAATACTACTCAAAAGCTACTTCACTTTTACTGACTTCAGTGATTTTCATGATAATCCAAAATTAGAAAATGAATCATTAAAAAATATCCATAAATGCCATCATAGAATCGGTAAACTTATAGTGCATTGGCGGTAGTATTTGAATTACCTTTTTCTGTGATTTGCATTCCAGGTGGGGAAACTGTAATCAGAAATTATTCCGGATGACAGCTATGGCTGATAAGGGTAGAGCGAAAGTATTCCATTGTGGTATACAGCACTTTTTCTCTATTTATCCACTGGTGGGTATTTAGATTGTTTCCATATTTTGACTGTGGTAAATAGCGGTACAACAAATATGGGATTGCTAATATCTTTCGAAATACTTACCTGAATTCTTTTGAGCAAATACCAAGAAGTAGAATTAGTAGATCACAAGGTTGTTTTAGTTTTAATTTTTTGAAGAGATTTCACACTATTTTCTATAGAAACTACTCTAGCTTCATTCTCATCAGCAATTTATAAATGTACCCATTTCTCTACATGCTAACCAATACTTGAATTTGTTTGATTGTTTGTTTGGATAACAGCCATTCTTAATAATTGTGAGGTCTTATCTCATTGTCATTTTGATTTGCATTTCCTGGTGATTAGTGACCACATTTATATTTGTATATAAATTGCAGAAGTTCATATATGAGTAATATAGAAATTAATCTGGACTTTGGGCTACATGAATGATAGTTATTATTTAAAAAAAAAAACTGATGATAAGAAGGGTGTTTTCCTAACATAGAAGAGTTTTCAAACTAAGAACTACAACATTTAGTATGAGAGAATTCTCTGTTGTGGAAGACTGCTTCATGCATGCCAGGATGTTTAGCTGCACATCCAGCTTCCACACAAGATGCCAGTTGCATTCCCTCTGCTCAGACAGGATAACCAAAGACGTCCCTAGACATTTCCATATGTTCCTTGGCAGGGAAGATGGGCTTGAAACCACTCCCCAAGTGAGAACTTTGATTCATAGTTAAACAATTTATGGCATAATCATGTTCCATATATTAAATATTTAACTTAATTCTCCAAGCCTTTAAAAGCCCATTTGTAATTTGTTGTTTGAAAGTACCTTACTAAATATCCCTGGGATTGTACATATATATGTATATTTACAATGTTTCTTCCTTATCTTCAAGATTATAATTTTATGTGACTGGTAGGTAAACCTCTAAATTCAATGAAGCAAAATACAAGAATTACCAGGTTGAGTCATGAATGGCA